GAATTTTGTATTAAATCTTTTCTTATCGATAGAATACAACAAAACCGAATGATAATTCTGAAGATGAATCTTCGAGAAAAGACAAAACTAATTCTTTGGGAAGAATGTTAAAGCTTGTAGATAAAGACGGCGCACCAAAGAAGCTTTTTCCTCATTCACGTGCCGGATCCTTAAGTAGGATTTTTCGTAAGCATTCAACTAATGAGACCAACGAAACCATTGACGAGTCAAAGGAAGAATCTCCTGGAATTTTTTCAAGAATGTTCAATCATCTTAGAGGTATTAATTGGTATTTCTAGATATTTCTACAAATTTTCAAGAAAAAAAAAACAAACAAATAGAACAAATGGATAATAAAATGTGATATATAATAATCAATATATATATTGAATATATAATATTTTTTAGATTTACTCACATTCATACATACACACACACACACATACACATATTTAAATAATAGAACCTAGTGATACTCACAAAAAGAGAATCAAGTTGACAGATGATTTTTTTTTGAAATTTTATACAGTTGTAGGATTATACACTGTACCAGCAGAAAAAGATCCAATACTTAATCGTATAAATAAATAATAAAATATATTTCATTTGTTACAGGTCGTTCGGCAGGTAGCAGAAATAAGGGTAATTCTAGTAATTCGCGTGAAACAATGGAAAAAGGAAAGTTACCTCCAACGTTACCTACGAAATTTTCAAGACCACCATTGCCGGTATCTTTGCCATCATCATCATCGTCATCATCGACGAATGAAAAGCAACAAGCAACGAGATTATCCCGAAGAACGTCTAATCTGGCATAAAAATGCCTTTCAATTTTTCGTTGACCGATGGATACAAATTAATAGCCTGTCATCGTGAAAACTAACTAACTAACTAACGAATGAACGAACGAACGAACAAACGGATAAAAACAGTTTAAAAAACAAAACAAACAAAAATAAGAAAGAAATTATGCAATGCACAAAATGTCAACTCAACGTGCGATACTTATTTCTTTATTTCTTTCTTTGCAGAAAATAATCAACTATAATGAGTAACGATGGAAAATATTTTTGTTAAAAAATAAATTCTAAATAGTTAGCGTGTAATAAATTTATTTGTGAATTTAGGGCAAAAATAAAAAAGAAACAAGAAAAAAAGAAAAAACCACCGCAAAATAAATGTAGGAAGATAAAAATACGCATTCCGCTTATTGGAATCAGCATCGGTGGCTTCTATTTAATGAACGTGCATTTTATCATAACACATTTTTTTCTGTATTTTTTCTGTTTTGCTTTCAATCGTATTTCTTCTTCACGTAACTGCATTGATTCTGGAAAATATACGTTAAGCTGCAAGTGAGCCACAATTCGCACGAACAGTTTTTTTCATATATAATTTATTTTCATTAATCCACAGTATACGTATATATGCATATCTTCATAATAATAATAGTAATAATAATAAAACTGATGCGAGGATTTTATAATATTCATTGGGATAGATAAAGTGAATGCAAAAACTAATAGAAACAATTTTAGGTAAAAAGAAGGATTAGTTTAGGAATACACGGGGAATATACGAAAAAGAGAAAAAGAATCGATGACATGAAATAGACAAAGGTATTCTTCTTTTTCTATTTTATTCGCAGATTCATTTGTCGTTTTACATTTTATTATTGCTGTTCTCGCAGCTGCCTCGATAAAAAAATTTCTTTATATACAAAAAAAGTTAGACATCCATATATTTACTTTTTATTTCATTTTTTTTTTTTTAATACGGATGTTCCTGTATTTTACATTTACATATACATATACATATACATATACATACATATATGTATGCATAAGTGTGTGATCCTTAACATCAAGCAATTATCATTAATATTTACAACGTCATGATAAATTTAAAAAAAAAAACATACCATGAATCATCTCGATATCATTTTATTATCATCCCTATAATTATATTACTATAATAATAATTATTATTATTATAATATTATTATTATCATTATTATTATTATTATTATTATTATTATTATTATTATTATTATTATTATCTATCACCTTGTTGTCTTTCGGCTATGTAAACCTTATCTCTTCGTTATCGATGAAAGATTTATATTTGATTTCTTCTTCTTCATTTGTTTCTTTTTCTTTTTTTGACAATTTCGTTTTCTCTCTCTTCCATTCTTTTTTTTCTTCTCTCTCTCTCTCTCTCTCTCTTTTTATATATATAATTCTTTCTCCGCGAACCACGAATCGTGATTTATCACAGAATAAACATAAAATTATAAATGGTAATACTCAAGGGCTAATAATGTCGCGTATTAAATTCTTCATGTAGAACTACGAATATTTTTATTGACGCCTAAAGAACAATTTTTATCTTCTTCTTCCCATTCTCCTTCTTCTTCTTCTTCTTTTTTTTTTTTTTTAATTAATTTTTCCCCTCTTTTTCCTAATGTATAAATCCTACATTATCCTTTCTCGTTCGCGTATTTTGATATGGTCATCGAAATCTGTAAAAATTTGAAACGTCTAATACAGACATAAATACTTCCCCTTTTTGAATATGTCGTTTACTTAATTACTTACGAAGATATAAGCTTTCTAAGAATATATTTCGACAATGATATGAACACTGGCAGATTAAACAAAAGAATCATGTTAGAAGCAATTGGAAAGTATTATTTATATTCGATTATCGAGTAACGATAACTATATAAATAAGCGATTTGCGAATTCACTTTATCATACATGCTCAACATTTTGTTATTTTGACATTAGAAGACTAACGAACATATGCTTGTAACTACGAATGAGTTTCACAAGAATGAATGCAAGGAAAATCCTTTCGGGGACGAGGCTGAGGGGCGGGGTGGCAGGGTAAAAGGAGGATTGATCTTTGTATTTTTCTCTCAATAAAATTCAAAAAGTCTTAGCTCACAAGTTGTGATAAAACATGACGTACGTTTCTTTTTAATAGTAAAAACTTGTAAATGGTGGATGATATTTTTTTGACGATGTTACAAAAATGATAAAAAAGCGTTATCCTTGCACCCATCGAAGGAAACATTTGTATATATATAATTATTTACAATGGCCCAATTACCCGAAGATAAAAAAAAAAAAACAAAATAAAATTAATCGTAAGAAATATTCTAAATAATTGAAGAGGGGATGTAGACGAGGGGCACCTTAGATTATATTAATATTATTTGCACTTAAGAACACTGTGGTAGAAACTACGAATTAGCGAGATTCGTTTCCTCATTTTCTTGTCATTATTTTCTTTTATCTTCAAAAATATCAACAATGACGATTATTCGATTGCACATACGTATGCATACGCTTATGACAAACTTTAGGACTTTTATTATCGAAAACACTATCATTCCGTATACATTTAAAACTTTACCTCTTTCCATTTTCTTTTTGTCATGTTTCGTTTTTCATTTCTTTTCTTTTTTTATATTATTCTTTTTTCTTTTTTTTTTTTTTGATAAATTCCTGCAAAATTTAATTCGTTCAGTCTAGAATTTCGCGTCGTTGATTTATTCCTTTTTTTTCCTGCTTTCGAGGAGCATTTCTAGATTCATATCTAACGCAAGGAAAAATTTTCTCATGCACAATAATTCACTATTTGGATAATAAAAGTTTTCCAAAAATACGCGATGTTCGTTCGTTCTATTCCAAAATTTTCTCGCTTTTGATACCTCTTTTTATTTTTTTTGTTTTTTTTTTCTTTCTCTATCTATTTGGAAAAATACCGCAAAAAAATGTTTCGATTGGACCTCGTTGTTTATTATTTCGAGTGTATTACTTTCTTTTTTATTTTCTTTCTTTCTTTCTCTCTCTCTTTCTCTCTCTCTCTCACGCATTCTCTCTCGCTTTTGACAATTAATTTACACAAAGTTAAGTACTTCTTTCGTACCTTTTTCTTTAATTAAAAAAAAAAAAAAGTTGGACTTAAATACTGAAGAAACAATAATATTAGAAAAAAAAAGAAAAAAAAAACGTTTGACAAGAATATTCGTCTGTAATAGTTCGATAACCATAAATACACCATATGTTATCGGGTTGAGTGACTTTTTTTTTTTTATCCACGAAAAAGTGATATGGCTTCTACGAAGATGCGAGTTTCTTGTTCCCACTAAACTTGTTTGGCCTAACTCGAGAGTAATGATATTCAAAAAAAAAAAAAAAAAAAAACAGTATCTTCATGTGTTCTATTTTTCGCTTCGTCGACATCTTTTACTCCATTCTTTTCTTTTCTTTTCGCTTTCATTTTTAATTTAATTCTCTTTAACACTTAATTGGCACGTCTAGCACGGCTCTTGGACGGATGGTTGCCATTTTGTATGCAACAAACAGCTAAATGATGATAATAACGCTGAATTGATTTCGATTACGCACTCGCCGCAAATCTACTATCCAAAAGAGTTTAAATATACAAATTAATAATTCTAATTAAAATCAATTTGTAATCTTAAAGAAACGTCAAATGTAAAATTAACAAATTTTTTTTTGTATCTTTTCTTTTTTACTAAATTATTATAATAAAGAAAATTTAGTAAAAATGTTTCATCGATAATTTCAAATTTATGTATGCACATGTATGTGTATATAATTAACAAAAAAAAAAAATAAATACATAATTAATAAATAAAACACAAATATAAGTACATTCGTAACGAATGCGAATCGATCCCGTTGACAACCAAAATTGAATTTTTCTTTTTTTCTTTTTTCCTTTTTTCTTTCGTTTGTGTTAATTCGTTATGATATGCAAATCTGTATCTATCTATAAACGGGATCAACACGAGCACGTATGATAATTTACTATGCACAGAAAATAGCAGCTAACGCGTAGAAGATATATTACGACGATATCGTTTCTTCTTCTTCTTCTTTTTTCTTCCAAGTAACAACGACCATATTATCACGACGTTGAATCTCATTCCCGTTGTTAATTAGATTTAATGTATTTTTTTATTGTATAATAATTTTAAATTCGATCCTTCTCATTTTTTCTTGTCCCTCGAGACTTACTCACGCACAAAGGGTACTGTAATATCATTGGTCACAATTTTGGAATCAAAGTGTAAACCAAAAAAAAGTATCAATGAGATCAAACTTTCCATCAAACTGAAAGTTATTCTTTTTTTTTTTTTTTTTTATATTGGGGTCAATGAAAATTGGTATGAGAATAACGCGTGTTGATGACGTGTTAATCGAACAAAATACTCCCCCGACAGATAATAATATTTGAAACGTCGTTGAGTATTAAACCCCAAAATAAAATGGGGGGTGGGGGGAGGAGGAAGCTATAAGATTGGTCGATCTGTCTTTCTTTTTCTTTTTTTCTTTTTTTAATTCCAAAATCTCCTAATCCGTTCGATTGGTTGATCTGCTTTCTTCTACGTTCTTCTTCTCCGAACGTCCACTTCTTCTTAGATTTCTCTGACGTTTTCCTTCGACGAGATTTTTATAACAAAAAAAAAAAAGTATCTCCGTGAAGAATCAGACGTACAACACGCCAGATATATTCTAATATATTCTTTTTTTTTTGTATAGATGTGAGACGTTCATGCTGCCCAGCAAGTCGATTGTCCTTGATAATCATTAATTGGATCATCACATTCCCGACTCGGCTATTCCTTCGTCATCTGCAAAGACATGTAAAGAAAAAAAGAAAAAGAAAAGATTATTTCGTTAGCGCAAAACGTGTGTGTGTGTGAGAAAGAGAGAGAGAGAGAGAAAAAAAAAAAAGAGAAAAAAAAACAACAAAACGAAAAAGAAAAAAGAAAAAGAAACTTATTTTAATAATTCGTCGTATCAAATATCATAATATAATATCATGCTTCGATTAGAAAATTATGCTTACTATTAGACCCGCGCATCGAAGGAAAAAAAAAAGCGAGTTATCATACTACACAGCGTTATAATATTTTCAGTAAGAAGAAAACAATGCTTTCACTATTTCTACACGAATATTATACAACTCGTGTGTTGTTGTTGGTACAGTGTGTTTTTTTTTTTTAATGGTTAATATAAGATTATTTATAATTTTATTCATTTATTTGAATGATACTTAACCATACTAGTTATTAAAGAAATGAGAGTTTTAGTTTTGCACAGAGTAAAAAAAAGAACTTGTTTAGCGTTAAAGCTGTTAATAATTGTAGGCAGGCAAATAATATTTTTGGCAAACATCGCATCAATGCAGGAGGCGACAGCAGCAGCGTTGGTTGAATTATGATATATCTATCTTTCTTTCTTTTTTTTTTTTTATTACTTTTCACACACATTTATTTGCCTTTAATTAATGATAAACAAATGAATGTTCTATTACGCAAAACTCTAACGATCAGCGAACTGTTGTTTTTCCTTGTTATTTTTTTTTTTTTAATCAGCAATTTGTTCCGGCTACTTTCGTGTTTCTGTTTTATTTTTTGTTTTGTTTTTATTGTCTCATGATATCAACTTGCATGCATCGTTATATTTGCCCGCATATAATATACGTGTATTATACGTTGATTTATATATATATGTAATATGTTATATATATTTTATGATATCACGTTTAACAGATGCAAGACATTAAAGTATTCGTGCACGGAGAGAAAAAGCGACGGTCGAAATTACCATCGACGCAGGATTCGGAGTTCGAAGGTCACCTCTCCTTTTCATCCTCGGCAGGACTCTTAGCGTTTTCAACCGAGCTTCGATTCTTTCCTGGATTCAAATGTTATAAAAGGGTAGCAAAAGGTGTTTGTCAGTTAACTACTTACAACGAGGCGATACGATTTTGATTACCCCAAAAAAAAGCGACACATCCACTTTATTTTTATTTGTTTTTCTATTATTATTATTTTTTTTTTATTGTTTCCTATACTCTCATTACCGATCTCCGTTATACCACTACCCCACACTACTATATTTTATTTACCGCCACCATTATTATTTATTATAAATAATTTGATATTCATTGAAGTTAGACAATTGATTTCAACAAAAAAAAAACTTTTTCTTATCTTTTTATATTTATATTGGTCATTATTTATACATGTCACAGGCGATAAGAAAACAATTCGTGCTCGTGTATCACATTTTAATATATCCCATAGAAATATATATTTTTCGATAATAGTACGCGAATCAAAAAAATTGAATTCGTAGAAAGATCAATCGTTAAATTTAAATACATGAAACACGAATACGAATTTGAGATAGTTTCTCAAATAAGTCATTGAGATTCTATATCGTTTATCCTGTTTTCATGCATCGCAAATTTTACACGACTCGACGTATATTGAACGTAGAAATGAAATAAAATGGGAGGGAAAAAAAAGAAAAAAAATACACTTGAAAATACTTGGTGCCGATAAAACAACAAGAAGAAAAAAACCGTAAAAGATTTAAAACGCTCACCTTCGAATCCTTGATTGTCATGAATCTCACGAGGTGGTCCCGTAGTGTCTTGTCCTTCCAAGACAGCAAGTAGACACTGGTGTATGCAGATGTATTGTTGTTCAGTTTGCACCATCCAAACTCTTTCCTTTCTCATAGCCCAAACTATTCCAAATATATCTACGTATTTCGATACCAAAATCTGTTGAAGTATCCTATCTAAGGTGATAAATGTACCGCTACGTCCTACACCAGCGCTACAATGAACGACTATTGGTCGTTGATCTGGCCTAACACGTTCTCGGAATGCTCGAACGAATCTTGCTAACGTTTGAGGTGGACTCGGTACTCCAAAATCCGGCCACGTTGTGAAATGAAAATGTTGTATTACCCTTTTCACGTCACCCTAAATACACAATAAAACAAATTTATTTTAAATACAGATTCGATGTTTTTCCTAATATTATTAACAATAAGAAGAAAAATGTGTGTATAAAGCAATAATAAAATAAAAAAAAAATATATATACCCTGCACAACATGAACTCGGTGATACTCCAATCGGGATAATGTGCCTCGTTTAAAATGGTTACGCAAATATCACCGTAATAAACGGGCAATGTATCCACGGGCCAATAATGATCGCACTTTTCTCTACCCTTCTCGATACATCGCGTGAGCATAACTATAGCTCTGCTATTACTCTCCCACACCATTCTCCAGAAATCATCTCGCGTCGAGTGTAAAGGACCTTGCGTTACTATAAACTCTCTTGGCGAGTTATGACCCTGAACAAAATTTAAATAGATTTTTCGTTAAATCAAAACCATTATTCAAAAAATATCCTTTTATTAATTTTAATATAATATATAGTTTTTTTTTCTTCAAATAAATTATAAATATATACTATGTATATATATATATATATATATATATATATATCTTCGGTATTACTCACAGGAACGTAATTAGCATTAATATAATCCGAGCCCTCTTCGTCATCTACCGGTTGCAATTTGAATCTACTGTGATCGTAAGGTAATATATTTGTAAAACGATTTTTTGGTCTGTTGCATGGTAAATCGGCAGCGGTACATGGTTGATCCCTTCCAACGTGTTTCAGCTCTTCGAATTCTTCCGAAAAACGGAAATCCGAATCCGCTGACATATTTCGATAATGTTCAGAAAAATCTTCTACTTTAATGGGACGACTATAAAAGAAAGAAACAAAAAATAAAAATAATATGAATTAAAAAGGAAAAATATCGTTCATTTATCATACGATCGAGTCTTATGAATATAATTATCTCTACACATTTTATCGTCTAATCGTAAAAAAAAAAAAATACAAGCACTGCTATTGACATAATTACTTTATATCGATTAAATTGTCCACATATAATCATTTATATCGATATATCATCTCAATGATTAAAGATTAAAAAAAACCTACATACACTTGGAAAATTAATTGAAATGTATGAATAAACAAAAGACTCGCTGTCATAAGAAAAAGAAAAAATACGAATCGAGAATAGTAAAAAAAAAAAAAAAAATTATAAAAGACCGATATCGTTGTTCATTAACGTCATCGTCATTGTCATTTAGGATATTTATCAGCAGTTCGAAATATGACTTCAACGACTAGTATGGACAGAATATAAATTAAATATCGTATCGGTGTATATTATTTCATTCCTCATGGGTAACTTGACAATCGGAGTTTTATTTTTCTTTTTTATACGACTATCTAAATAAACTGACTCATTAATTATCTCATTTAGAAAGAAAGTAAGTATAGATCGCGATGAATATATTTTACTAATTAACATAAATATCTTACCTCGTTTCAATAACACTGTCTGGTAAAGATAAATTGTCGGTGGCTCTGGTCTCGGTAGTCTTCCTTCCTTGACTTCGTCTTCTTCTTACGAGCAAACCGATACCCAATAAAGACAGTAAAAGAACAATCGGGACAGTAACTCCAACAATTATAGCAGTGTTATCCTTATCTGTTAGAAACAAACACAACGAATACAGAATATACTGATTTGCCTTATACATCGAGCTTATATCATGGAAAATTTATTCGCATAAGTTATACAATACAACTCTGATTACCTGCCAGCAGCAATCCTTGGACAGACATGCACACGAAATAACGAGGCATGAATTTAGTAATGTTTTTATCAATACGTTCAAATTTATATTAATAATCTTCAGAATAAATTATGATCATTATAAATTATTCCGAGAAAAAATACTTGGAATTATTGAATATCAATAAAATAATAAAAGAAAAACCAAGCTCGAGATGTGAATCTTATTTTATCAATCATAAATTGTTTAAAATTTTATTTTGAATATCGTATTAATATCATAGGTAAACGTTAAAATTATAAATCTTTCCGGCCGATCGCTCTCACCTGTTTGAATTGGAAAACTATAGCTTGTATCCGTGAACATGTCGGGTGCTGTGAAAGCTCGTACTTTTACTCTGTAGGTTGAACCAGATTTAAGTGGCCCGTTGCAATAACCAATTTTGTTATCACAATTTTCATTTCCTATCGTAAAATCTTCTACGGATCCATTTTTAAAAGGATAATAAGGTTCCATAACCTGGGAAAGATGTAAAATGTGAATCGTTATATGAAAAAAATGATATATTCACGATCATTAAAATTACTTTACATACAAATAAGATTATATCATAAATGAAATCACATTAAAAATGAAAACATAACAACGTAAAAATGACGTAATCAAAACTATCGAAGGTACAATGATTTAAATGAAATTGTCACCGAGTGTGTGACTCATATCGTGCGCATTGTGACGATTGAACGAGTCAAATCTATTTTCGTTTTTCAAAACGATATTCGCGTATACACGTAATTACCACTTTTCCTTGAATTTTTATCAAACGCATTAATGCATAATATTTCAATCTATATTACATAATATAATAACATTACCATTTGTTTGGATTTTCAGAAAATACATATATAGATTTCAAAGAATCATTTATCTCAATAATTACAAATAGAATGTTTATTTTTTGATTCACGATTAAACAATCGTGATACGTATTGTTCTACTTGTAATAATAAATTAACAAAGTACAAAAACACTACTTAAATATTCTCGTTCATCAGATTAATAACGAGAAACAACGAGTCACGTAATCATTTCAGATTAATTATAATAATAGTATCGAACTCTCGTGAAAAAGTTAAAAGTGTTCGATTAAAGAAAGGATAAAGAAATTTGATGAAAGAAACTTCACCTGAACGATCAATCTACTAGTATTTACGATAAGATTCTTCAAAGTATCCATCTTAGAAATCTCAATCATGCGTGTTCGCGATTAGAAGCACCAGTAACAACTACAGTGTTACGCATAGTACTTCTATCGTTTGACATAGCATTGCACATATAACGCGTTAGAGAGACGAAGGAGATTCTAAGTTACACGGTCGTCCATGTAATGCGTGTGTGATGGTGAGCCGTTTATGCGATTAGTCCGTGATCTTACAAGTTAATGAGCTGTTTGGAATAATTCGTTGAATTGATTACTCGCATCTGTTGTTGTCTCGTTGATATCCGACGTTAATACCGTTCGCTTACGATGATCAATCTAGATGCCAAAGTATATTTTTATATCAAAAAGATTCAATTTATAATTACTTTACTCGATTAATCGTTAAAGGATCGATGATTAACCGGATATAGCAATTTCAACGAATCATTAACTCTTACATCGAGATATATACAAAAAAGGATTACACACTATCATCCAATCGTGTGTCTAACACATTGTTTTACGTAATAGCAAGACGTGCCGTGACGTTACAGTGGAAAATTATCCTCGTGACAGTGGCACGGATTTTGCATTGAATGAAAACTGCAACAGCAGCGTTTTGATAATCGTTCGATTATGATAATTAACAAATATTTTTCTTTTTCTTTAGTAAGAAAAAGAATACAAATCGAAAATGATGTTTACCTGATAAGGTGGCCAAATGCTGTAAGCTTGAACATCTCTCCAACTAGGCATTTCCAAACCAGATGCATTTTTGCTGTCATCTTCGGCAACGATTATAGTATACGAGGTTACAGCGCCATTTTGTTCACTGAAGTAATTCTTTCTAAACCGTATTTGTATCGTAGTACTGCTTCTACAGACCTCGGTTGGTACAACTTGAGTGGGCGGTTTTGGTGGTGCCCTTATTGGCATCTTTTGCTTCCAAATAAATTCAGGACCATAACCGACCTTAGTCTCGGCTTGAATACGAAAGAAGTAAGTTTTGCCAGGGTGGAGGGTCTTTATGACACCACGGAATTCGTTCGGCTTGAAATGTTGGATCTTCATGTGGGTAGAACCCTGAAGAAAATCGAACGAACGATTAAAGTAACGATAGGATTACCGTTGACGCATTAAAATATTCCCAAGATGATTGTCCGCGTGCTCCTATCTTTTACGTTGTTAGTATTATTGTTACTTATAATCTTTCACGATTAATAATATCAATCAATATTCTTCGATCACATTTAATCGTTGTTATGAAATTAGATTTGAAGAAAAAGAAAACAAAAAAACTAACCTCCAAGCCATAAGTAATACTGTATTTTCTGATGACACCATTGTACTCCTGATTCGGCAAATACCATTCAAAACTGATCTCGCTAGGTTGTATATCAGTTGGATAAAACTTGTCCACTCTGCCGGGATAAGACTCGCTCGTAGTGAAACTGGCACTGAGCGGGTTCGACACCCTCAAATAGGATGATTCAGTTCCTGATCGAACGACCAACGTGAACGTGTAATTTCTATATGGCTTCAATTCTGATATGGTTATCGTGTTAATGGATGTTAAATTTTGGATGTAGTTCCCTTCGGTGTTTATGTATTGCACTTCAAATGTATTATACTCTCCTCTTGGTACGTCCCAAGTCAATGTTATCCTGGTATCGTTAACGTCTGTCGCATTTATTGCAGTGATCGGTTCAGGATCTGAAAACGAGATCCTCGCTTTTGAATATTCTTCGAATGTATATCCCAAATTATTATACAGAGTACTGCGTGTAATGCGACTACGTCGTTTGGATCCGAACCGTTCACCGAATTAATAATATTCTTTATCGCTGAGAATGAAGTTAAAGCTTATCAAGCAAAAAAAGAAAATGTAATCACGCAAATTCAAATGAAGAAGATACCACGTTCCGATGTGGCATTGTAAAGCGTACAACATTCTCAATGGTACGTTAATAGATAATATAAATGAACAATAAATGCAAATCAAAGTGATGTAATATATTATAAATTACGTACGCGCATGATAGATAATTAATAAATAAGACTCTCGTTTATTTTCCTATTCCTATTTGAAAAAGAAAAAAAGAAAAAAAAAAGGAAAAAAGATACTTACAGAGTCTATCCTGTCTAATCAATGGCCGACTTTCCACGTTGTCACTGACAGTCCATACGGTCACTTGATAAAGTCTACCGGGTGTAAGACCAATAAAGGTTATCTTCGTATCGGTATCGTCTACACGACGTTCCTTAGTCGTATTGTTCTCGTCGTTGATACGAAACCGATAAAGATCGAATTTCGATGATTGAATCGGCGTTGGGGTGTACCTTAGCGTTAACGAACCAGGTTGATCGCGATCTACCACCACTACGACTTCGGACTGGATCAGCGGCACTGGATTCGACAGAGTCGTTTTCTTTTAACCTGATTAATTTTAATTCGCCTATTTATGAGTAAACATCGGCGCATACATCCTCTAAATATCCTGTCTCTTTAATCTTAAAAGGAAGAAGAAAGAAAAAAAAGAAGAAAAAAAAAAAAAAACTAAATGACGAAGTAAGCCAAGGAAATGTTAACGAAACGTACAAAATTCGCCTGCTGTTATTTCAAGATTAGTCGTGAAATTTGAAACAAAACAAAAAAATGTGGAGATATATAAGAATAAAGGATGAAATCGTAGGCTACATAATATTCTATTAGCACAATATGATGCACGTGTAGAAGAATTTCGTTAAGCATTTGCGTCAAATTAAGGATAGTTTTTTATACTCACTCAAAATGAAACACACAAAAAGAAAAAACACGAAGTTTCAAACGTTAGAACCTCGGGTGATGATTACTCACTTGTTCTGGTCGTTAAATTGGTGATTTCACTGACTAGATCGTAAGATATGGTATAGACGCTGAATGAATACTGCATGCCTGGCATTAAATCACCAACTAGTACTCTTTCCGTGTGAATAGTGTTCTCGTCGAATACAAGAGCAGATATTTCGGGACTTTCGGTGACATTTTTTGCTCTCACATCTTCTGGATTTTCTACGGGCCACCATCTTATCACATAGGTTTCTATCCTACCTTCGGGTCTTGGCCATTCTAAGGTAACATTCGTTGAATCCACGATCGGACGAATATTTAATACTGGGTTTGGTCCTTCAAAAAATAATCGTTTTTATAATGAAAACATTGTTATATATAATATACGTCACATATTATATAATGTAAAGAAATGTACACTCACGAATCGTATGATTTACTTGCAACGGATGTAAACTTTCTACCCCATAGCTTACAGTATTCACTTGTATCGTGTACCTCTCTCCAGGTGTCATATCGGCAACTTCTGCCTCGCCGATTTCTCGAACACTCGGTAATTTCACCCATCTTGGTTCGTCTTCCGTACGATACCTAATTGAATATTCAGAAAATATCGAATCCGTTGGTGCCTCCCAATGGACGAGTACGGTGTTACTGGTAACTTTTTCAATGCTCAAATTCTTTGGTGGATGAGGAACTAGAAAGAAAAAAAAGAAAAGAAACGAGTAATTTCAAACGTAAGAGTTGTCCTTTCCATTTCTCAAGGACACGTATAAATGAATGTTCATATTCGAAGGTGTTCAACACTCACGGACTGCTTGAAAATGTGCATGCGGTTCGCTCCTGAGTCCATGACTAATGGCGAAAACCTTGACCTCATATCCCGCACCAGGATAAAGATCTTCTAAAACAATGTGCGACTCTGTGGTCAAGGTGGTCGCACTTTCCCCGGTATCGTTTCTATTATGCGTCACCTCGAACTTTTCTTGCCTTGAGTTTACGTCACTCTTCCAGGATATGTTCAAACCTTTTTCAATCGATTTCAAATCTTCAATTATCGGACTAGATGGTCGTGTTACTTGATAAAGTATCGTCTCATTCGATTCAACTTTGCTGCTAATCGCTTGAACGATTATGGAATAATTTCGTCCTGGCAATAAAGCTTCCAATGTGACCTATAATCAGAAAAAATAAATAAAGTTAATGTAAAAGAAAAAGTAATTTCCTTTCTAATGATCTATTTTCGTTCTTTTTTGTTTGAAAAAAAAAAAAAAAAAGAATATCTTACTCTGGTTTTATCAGTTGTCAAAGTGTTGCTATCACCACCGATAGTTGTTTCCACTTCGTGATACTGAAGTTTATAGCTGTCTTGTGTACTACTATTTTCTGGATTCCATGACACTTCAACCATACCTGTTCTCTCGTCGACTTCTGCTCGAAGATCTCGCACCGGTAAAGGTTCTAAATATTTTTGAAAAAAAAAAAATTAACGATATAAATGGAACCAATTAATAATAATAATATATTATTTATCGAGAAGACAAACTTACTAAGAGTAACGTCACCACTGGCTGGCCAACTGGTAACCTTACCAGAGACTGTTTTTACAATGACCTGATACGTTTTCCCAGGTTCTAAATCTTTAAATTCCAATCTGCTTTCATCGTCACGATTTTTGCTGACTGGTGCTAATCTCCGATTACCTCCAAGAGATATTTGATACTTGTCAAACTCCGATGTTCCATTCGGTGGTTTCCAAAATACTCTGAAGGAAGTAGACGTTATTAAAGACTTGTCAAAAGTCACGTTCAAGGGTCGCAAAGGTACAGTGCGATATTGGGCAGTCGTTGGTGTCGAAGTTTCATCTTCGGAAACCGTTTGTACCGAAATGTTGTAAGCTCGACCTGTGTGTTAATAATAAATACAAAAAAAAATAGACACTTATATCAGTCGATATCAATTATTCGTAACATTTGAAATTGTTAACCAACAAAATTATACGTTTAACTGACTGGTTCGTTTAATTGTTAACGATAACAAAAATTGCACTTTCATGCAAGCAAGTAGTAACTTACTCGTAACATGATTTAAACTAATAGACACGTACCAGGGACGAGTCCTTTGAATGCAGCTTGAGCTGGTCCAGGTGGTTCACCTTCTTTCTCCACGTAAAGAACCGATTCAATCGCATCCTTGGGATCAATACTGACTTTGTAATGAGTATAAATCCCAGCAGGATACGGTGGTTGCCAGAGTACCAGCAACGTAGTTTCATTTCTAAACCATACAATGAACTTTCCCGGTGTGTTAGGTTCTAACGGAAAAAAGATAGAGAAAAAATAAACAAAAGTAATTAAACGAATCATTAAAATATAATACTCGACATTTCAAATGTTTCATATTAGATAAACGATTAATATAAATGTGACACGTTACTGGTTGTAAAGTTTCTGCTCGTGTAGGCCACGCTCTCTTTGGTGTCCAGCACCGTGAAAAGTTGAAGGGAGTACGTTGCCCCCGGCGTAAGATCACGAAGGGTATAGGGCACTGCATCGGCGGGTATCACGCTCGTCCTTGGATTTCCGGTGTCGCTGAAGCTTTGTACCCTCAGGCGGAAACCGGAATAATTACCCTGGACTGGTGGTGACCAATACACGATAGCGGTTTTCCCATTGCGGACCGATACGGTCAAATTGGAGGGTGGATCCGGTACTGAAGCGCGAACAATTATCATGAATTATATGATGACACATTTGTTACATCTATCACAATTTACACATTCATTCCGATATAATAGATTTTATTTATCAAAAATTTTCAACGAATCGTAATAGAAAATTATTTAAACAATTTTCAATCATTTAAATATATTTACGGTTGAGTGTAATGCACTCTCTAAGGGGAAAAAAAAAAAGGTTTCCACGGCACGTGGCCACTCTTACTCGTATTTTAGATTAAAATGTATGTCGGATCGTGTTTGAAATATATACGAGCTGGTTATCAGGGGAAAAGTCTTGTCTTCGTATTTCTTATATATATATGTACATGTATATGTGTATATATATTTAGGTTCTAAGAATTTTAGAAAGGTACACTAACTTTATTCAAAGTTTATACCTGTCGTGATCGATGCAGCCCACGTGAGCCAATCGTGAAGAGTGCCGTTACTGTAGTACAACCAAAACTCATATCTCGTACCAGGAAGAACGTTAGTGAGTTTGATAACATCACCTATTTCTGTTGCGGCTTTCCTAATGTTTGGTGGTGGATTACCAACAGCAGGACTGTAATCCAGTCTTAACGAGGAACCACTTTGGCTCAAATTACCTGGAATCTCGATTGCTAGATCGGCCGAGTACGTCACCTGAGAAAAAGAAAATAATCAAAGGTCAATATAATCAGAATCTATCGTATTAAATATTTTTAATGTGTGTTATTTTTAAACTGTTAATACAATTTCTAATAAATAAAGTATATATATAAATAGGAATGATAGATTTATCAATCTATAATGAGAATATATTTTAAATCTCTTATGTAGCACAAAGCAAAGTGATTTTATTTTCGATGACATCTCGGTAATAAGAATTCCATTGCAACACAATGGAATCTTGTATGATGTTATCACAGTAAGAGAGAAACAGAAATTTGCATCACGCATTCCAAGATCATAGTTCGCGCTCAACAATTCTCACGACTTTATAATATAGATTTCTGTGCATAAGAATTTTGATACTTTGCATTATAAACAAATATCAATTATTTCAAATTTGCATTAGAAAGAAATACGAATATTCCTGTAACTCACTGTATACATATCTATGTACATATATGGTAACATTATTATAGCCCTGATCTATGAATCGAATCATTGAACAGACGTCAAATCTATCAGAAATCATCAATAGCATATAACCATCCTATCTAAGTTTCATTTTCACATAATCATAGAAGAACAAATATGACAAAAATTCAACAAACTCATATCTCCTTTAAAACGGATCACTCTTCTTCTTTTTTCCCTCCCCCTCCCCCCTCCCATCATCGATACACACCATAATCCAATTAATTTTGATATCGTTTCTTTGGAGTTTAATCGCACGTAAAAGCGCATTTACTTTTTTTTTTTCCTTCTTCTTCTTCTCTTCGAATGCGTTTACACACCATTGCTTTGCACGCATTTTGTACTTACGATCGTGCGTTTTGCTTGTTTTAACGAGAGAGAGAGAGGCGTGACCTCCCCCAGAGTTTCGAGAATACTCACTCGCTTTCTCTCCCCCACGAAAACTCGTAACAAATGGCGAGTCGGTCGATAGTGAATTCTCTCTTCCGTATATGTGTGTTTGTGTGTGTCTGTATATGTGTATTTTATACATATAAGTTAGGTAGCATTTATCATACTATATTCTTGGATAGTATTGTTAAATTTTAATGAATCTAACATTGGATTCGAACGTAATGATCTTTTTTTCTTTCCTTCCCCTCCCACCATAACCCCTCACCCCTCTTATTTCCAAGACCATTTTTGAATTTTATCAATCTCTTAACGATTCGTTGCAATTAACATGAAAGATTTATAGATATTGTAATTATTTTCTTTGGACAAGATATTATGCTGCGCTAACATATGTAGTTGTATGATTTAATAACGATAAATATCGCTGAAACGTATAAATGTAAACCGTGACATTCACGCGACGAATGAAACCACAGGAAAACGTGTATTATATATAAGTCAACTAATTGTCGAGTAGGACCTTCTAACGTAATTACATTTGCACCGCAAGTTTTTTATTCGTTTAATTAAAAATTCTGTCCTATTACAAATATTAAATATATTATTAGATTAATCTCTTGTGTAATATTAGTAACGTGGTTCGTTGAGTATAATAGTTTACGTGTAAAAAAAGAATATTTAAATTGATAAGGAAAAAAAGGAAGAAAATAAAAAATTCAATTTCAATACGAAGTAAGTCAAAGAAAATTCGTACGAATCTTTTCGCTGCTTATTCATTTATATTTCTTTTATTTGTGTTTTTTTTTAAAGGTTTTTCTCCAATCCAATCATCGCGAAAGGAAGAAATAGCGAAGAAGAAAAAAATGTTTGACGTATTCGAACGAACCACACGAGCCGCGTTTCAAACATCTGGCGGCTATACGCGACGTACCGGAAGTTGCATGGTGGGCGTAAAATGGGGCCCACCGCGATTCTATGAACGTCGTTATTGAAAACCACGATGACGACTACGACTACGACTACGACTACGACTACGACGACGACGACTGAAAAAAGCAAAACGTTCCCCCTTTTTTTTTTTTTTTAATCATTTTCCATTTCTTTTTTTTTACGAATACGACTGCTCTTATAAAAATCTATTCTTTTTGTTTTCATTCTTTCCTCTCATTCGGACGAATAATTTCGAATAATATACTTTGACAAGAAGGAAGAAGAACATTTTCCAGTTTTTCAGGTGTGTGCCTTTCCTCTCTTTCTCTCTCTCTCTCTCTCTCTCTCTCTCTCTTTTTCTCTCGACGACATCCGGACGTGTTGGTGAGAGATATATATATTGATCTCTCTTCCCTTTTTACTTTCTTCTCGCTCCCTCAATTTCTTTCGTTGTAAAACTCTCTCTCTCTCTCTCTCTCTCTCTCTTTCTCCCTCTTTCTCTCTCTCTTTCTTTTCTCTCTCTCTCCCTTGCTCGTCGACAACCCTTCTCGTCGTCGTCGTCGTCGTTTGCGACGACTGGAACTTCTAATTGTACAAAGAAGGTTTTGAATGGTCGAATAGCTACAACATGGGGAAGGAAGGTGGTGAACTAAAAGCAGAAAAAAAGAAAAACGATAGGATGGAAAAATTGCAGAAAGAAGATAGAAAAATTGGAAACGTTTAAAACGTATTTCTTGGCGTTATTTTGTGAAATTCGTTGATTCGTTAAAAGGATTAGCAAAATAAATCAAATAACTATACTGAAAGTCGTTTAAATGTGAAGTAAGACAAAATTATGTACTTTTATTAATTGTAAGTAATATATCACATATTAATTTAGATATAATAAATGTAGTTATGAGATTTCATTCGAAATATATGAAAAATACTTTTTTCCGATTTCGTTTCAATATCTGTCTGTACTCTGTACCGTTATAAATCCGTAGACAGAATATATTTGTCTATTTGTTTTAAAAGGGCTTATCTAATCTTAAAATAGTTTTCTTTTATTGATTTATGGAAATAAATGAGGTTTCCACATCGGGAACTGTGAAAACGGAAATAAAATAAACACGAACAATCAATACTCGTAGATACGTTCTTAATACTTATTATATTTTCTATAGAGATTTTCTGTTGGTCGTACTGTTCTGTTGATATTTAATTATTTGCCACTTGTGAATTCATATAATAAAGTCATTATTTTCTAAAACTATTAATTTTATTGAATAATATTATTTTTATTTTATATTAAAACGTCTAATTATTTTGGAAAGGACTTAGGGTTTCCACAATTTAACTGGTATATACAATTTAACGTTAACACATGTGTGTATGTGTATGTGTGTGTATGTGTCGTTGTACATGATATATACAGGATGATAATTAAAACGTTGCAAACGCCAAAGTCAAAGAAGGGAGACGGTCAGACCGTTTGCGACTGCGGAAAAAAAGAAAATAAAAAAAAAAAAAAAAAAAAAAAAAAAAAAATATATATACGCGATATACAATTTCAGAGAAAAGAGTGAATTTAAAAAAGCACATTAACAACTTACGGCTTCGTTAACGAAAGTAATTAGAANTACAATTTAACGTTAACACATGTGTGTATGTGTATGTGTGTGTATGTGTCGTTGTACATGATATATACAGGATGATAATTAAAACGTTGCAAACGAACGAACGAACGAGCGGAAAACAAAAAGACAAAATTGTCTGTGTTGAAAAAAAAAAAAAAAAAAAAAAAAAAAAAAAAATAAAATATATATACGCGATATACAATTTCAGAGAAAAGAGTGAATTTAAAAAAGCACATTAACAACTTACGGCTTCGTTAACGAAAGTAATTAGAATGCGAAACGAACGTAAACTCTCGACATTCCTTAGACGAATTTTCGTTTTTCAGGATTAAAAGAAAAAAAGAAAAAGAAAAAGCTGAAAACAACTTTGATCCTCGCGCGCATTTACTTTCTTGCTAATATTTCAAAATATAATTAAAATAAAATATATATGTATATATTTTTTTCCCCCAGGCAAAGAGATTACAAAAATAATAGAAGATAAATATAAAAAAATCTCAATATGAAATAATTTTCTTTTATAGACCTTATTATATTTTTATTTTTATTACATTGGAATATATATATAAATCTACGGAACAAAACATAATAATTGGATATACACATTCCAATATTGTATATTTTCTATTGTATATTTCGAACGAATAGAATTCCCATGGCTCGAGCTCGTCAATAAGAATTTCAAAAAAAATATTTACGAGAGTTACACCTCTTAACCATTGACTGATTGGTCAACCAACCAACCGGCTGACTCTTCTTGAGTACGACTGTCATTGCATTTGAGTTGCACTCGCGGTATGTTGGAATGCGGGAATGCCTTGACGACGCGTATCTACTATCTTTCTCTCTCTCTCACTCTTCTAGTTTGAACGAAACGAAGGGACGCTGGTTGGTTGTTCCCCCTTTTGCTTTGCACGCGTCGTTCGATCGTGCAACAACCGTCGTCGACGAGGAGGAGGACGATGATGCTACTTCCTGTTGACCCCCGTCACGCACTCCGCGAACGTTTCCTTTTATCCCAACCTCTCTTTCTCTTTCTCTCCCTTTCTTATTATTTATCTTTATCTCTCTTTATACTTCGATATGCGAACAACTCTCTTCTCTTTACCTCTTGAAAACTTGCAAAGCCAGTTCTTATTGAAGTACGCATACAAGCACGGTTATGTTTAACATAAGGAAAGTGTCGTTAGGTATGTTGATGAAACTTGGTCATGCTTAAAAACCTATATATATATATATAGGTTGTAAAAGGATGTACAATATTAAATATTAATCTGGTATATCAAATCATTGTAATATTGTCGATTAAGGTCAGTATTTTCTTGATTGATCATTTGATTAAATATATTTGTTATATTATTATAACGATATTATATTAACATGTTCTAGTTTTCAAATGATCGTACTTAAGTATTAAGTATACTATAGTATATATACTATAACTATATTTTGTAGAAAAATTAAAATACACGATCAAGTTATAATCTGGATAACGTTGTATGATTGAGGATATAAATTGTTTAATATTACTATTATTTTATTTACATTTCATTCTTGAGTAGATTATCCAAGTTTCGT